CGCTCTACCGTACCATTTGCCCATGGGCTGTAAGCAGTAGTGAAGTGACGTCGGACCTTATACTTGCGGAACATCTCCTCGTCCAGCTCATTCAGAAAGTGCGATCCCTGATCGCTAACTAACCAGTCCATAGTACTGAAAGATGCAATCCACTTGGAAAGGGCTAGCGCAGTGACTTCTGCGTTAGCAGCATCAGCAGGATGCAGCCAAACAAAAGACGAAATGTCATCCCTGATTATCAGTATATACTTCATACCCTCAAAACCAGCACCCATGTATAAAAAATCCATGTGTACTACTTCATTGGGTTTTGAGCCATGAAGTGCCGTACCTAGCGGCCTAGGAACGCTTTCTCCGCTACGCGTTACAATACAATGGATGCAGGATTGAACAAACTCCTCGATATCATTCGACATTTCCTTCCAGTAGAAGTTCTCTCTGATGATGCTCTCCGTCGCCTTTTTTCCGCGGTGTCCTCCCAGACTACAGTGTGAAATTACCAAGACCTTCATGTGCAGCCTTAGATCAAGTCTCGGAATCCAAATGCAACCTCTTCTCTTCCAGAGCTTTTCTTCATCATCCCAGGCAATCCCTTCATCCGCAGGCGCAGGGCAATGTTTGTTCTGTGATTTTCGAAAGACTTCCATCGAAGGCCAAATGTATTCCTCTGTGGCAGGCGAGTCAACTATCCCTTCAATTCTCGAAAGTTTTGCCAATTTGCGGAGTGAACGCTTCTCCGATCGGTAGCCTTTCAGCCACCGAGTGAGAATGTCCGCGAATACATTCTTCTCCCCATCCACATGCTCAATTACATATGTGAATCTCGACAGGTACAGCGCCCAGCGCTGTACTTTACACACAATGTGACGCCCTAAAGCTGGCTCGAGAGCCACTGGGGCAAATATGAATAGGAGGTTCCGGTGATCAGTGAACACGTGGGTGGGCTGATCGTCATAGAAAAGATAGTCAAGTTTCTTGAACACTTGGTAAATAGCGAAAGCCTCTTGCTCGAATGTGCTCCAATTTATTTCTGCCTTTTTGAACTGTGCCCCAAGGAATGCTAAAGGTTCATGCATCTGTTCTTCCACCGGTTTTTGTAACTCTCCAGGATCCGTCTGTGTTACCACCGCCGACCAGAATTGGTTTGACGCGTCAGTATAGACACAAATCTTCTTGCCCTTCTTTGGGAAAGAAATCAGAACAGCATTTCTAATTGTGTCCTGTAGACTTCTGAAGGCTTGTTCCTGTTTGTTCCCCCAGGACAGAGTTTGAAGTGCAATGTTTTGAATCGATCGCTTTGTTCGCCGTCCAGTCCGTGTGTAAGCTTCTTCGAGGACTTCTGTTAGCGGAACGGATCGTTCAGCAAATTGTGGTATGGAGTTTGACATCCACCTGAGACAGTGCACAAACTGGCACAGTTCCCCCGCGGTATGTGGCATATCAAGTTCCTGCAAGGCTGAAACTCTTGTTGGATCCATCTTGACACCATTTTTCGATATGATCCTGCCACACCATCTGACTGCTTTTGTGAAGAACACACTCTTCTTTGCCGAAAGAAACAGTCCATACTTTCGACAAGTTAAAAAAACTGCAACAGGAGTTGCAGTAGATAATCTTCTCCCCGGGAATGGATAATAAAGTCGTCCAACCAGGCTTTGAGATTTTCCCGCATCTGATGGAATAACGGTTCAACTTTGCTCTGAAAGTTTGCCACTGAGTTTACAGCCCCTTGCTGGGTCCTCGTTGGTGAGTATATACCCTTGGGTGTGACCATACTGTGTGCGGCTTGGGAATTTGCGTCCAAGGGCAGCTGCCAGTATCCACTGACAAAGTCAACAGTAGCAAAGCAATCACTGTTTCGGAAGTCCACAACTTCCGAATCAATGTGCGGCATTGGCCAAGAAATGGGTTCCGTAGCAGCATTCACTGCTCTGAGGTCGACAGTCATGCGAAACCTCGCTCTGGAGTCCTTCGGTACGAGAAGCGGGGCTGCTGCCCAGGTAGCTGCATGGTTCTTGCGTACAAATCCCATTTTTTCGAGGGTGTCAATGTACCTGTTCAGAAAGTCGCGTTGGTCTGCCTTGTAGCGCCTAGTTTTAGCTATGACTGGTCGTGCTCCAAGCTTCAGTTTGACTTTCATGGGCTGTACCCTTGCTGGCGGTGATCTACCCAAACGAACACGAAAAATGTCTTGAAACTCAAAAACCAGGTCACGTAGTTGCTTCGCACCCTTCTCAGAGAGTCCGTTCTCCTGAGCTTCCTTGATCTTTGCTGATAGAGCATTCTGCAATTCCTCCTTTGTGTCTTCACCGAGATCAATATAAATGTCGTCATCGTCGGCGAATCCGTCATCTCCGTTTTGACTATGGAATATGCCGTCATCTCGCATGATCTTGGCAAGTGTTCCATTCTTCAAATCTTTACCCTTTGTAAGGATGTCTGGTACATTTACAATACCGTTGTGTTTGTCAGATGCGGCTTCGAGAATTGTCTTTGTGTCTAGGCCGAGCCCTTCCAAGACGGGACGTCCAATTAGGACATGTTCGGCTGGCTGGTCACTTACAGCCCACTCCACATTTCGGAGCAGCAAAGAAGCTCCATGTCGGATGCGCAACTCCACATCCGCTTTCACAGTCTTACAGCATGTGACTTTGGCGGTCCCTTTACTAGCTTGGGCCTGAACGGCCAGGGAGTACACGATTGGCTTGTCAAGTTGAGTGACAACTACGTGTGGGATGCAAGCTTTCAGCTTGTCGAAGATATCAGGCGGCATCAGGTTGTCGTCAGAGCAGTTGTCTGCGAGTACCAAGGCGTGAATCGTTTCATTAAACTTGGCGGTAAACAAGGTTGAGTGATTGTCAATATCCTCTGCAGCCATTCGTTTCATGAACTTCGGCTTCTTCTTCCTTGCTGTATTCTGTTTGCGCCAGCTCTCAATCAACTTCTGCTTCAGAGCATCATTTCCTTTGCAAAGCGGGCAATCTTTGATGTAGTGTTCCTCGGTACAGTCAGGGTGCAGACACTTAGGCAGATGCTTGCGTTTACCCTTTTGGTACTGTGACGAGTCCCCAAACTTACCCTTGCCATATTCGATGGCTCCATCGCTCCTTCCAGTTTGGCTCCTTTGCATTTGACTCTTCCCTTTCGGTTTCTTATCTCGCTCATGAGAATGATTTCGTCGGTTGCTTGTTTTTTCGACAACATCCGCCAAACGGACAAGCTCGGATATGAAATAGCGAAAGTTCTTGCTACGCAGGCGTTTCGCATCCTGCTTCTCAAATTCGTCCTCAATCAAGTCTTTCAGCAGTTGTGGCTTGAGACGATCGAAGATATGGCCAATGGCGAGCTTTGGGCATTCGTGTGGGAAGTTTGAATATCCTGAAGCTTCGAGTGCTCGCTTGTAGTCCAGAAGTAGCGTATCGATACGTGCCTCAGCACCGGGAACAGACATTTTTATCTGAACGTTTTTGATACTCCGTTCCACATCAGACAACTCAATTTCTCCTGGCGGACGTTCACACTTGGCATTTACGCACTTGACAAGTTCATCTTCGGTAATGTCTTGGACACTAGGGCTATCGATGTAACCACGCTCTACGAACAACTCGAGCACATTGTGGTCCACGGTCGTCAGGTAGGAGGACAACTGTATATCCACACAGGGGTCACGATTCTTTTCCGCAACTTCCCTTTCGTAGTTCTCACGTGCCTTCCTAAAATTGATAAAGTCAAGCAGCGTGACGCACGTGAGTCTTGGGGCCTTTATAGTATCAACAATCGTCTGGTTTTTCACAGGACCCCTCGTCGGAGACGGCTCATCTTCCAAAAGCGTCGAAGCCTCAATACGATGCTGAGCCATCGTGCTTCTCTCAAAGTTTGATCCACAAATCTTCTTCGCGAAAGATATATCTGTAGCAACTTGTGGGGAAAAACAGAAAGAGAATGTACCTCGCACAGACGGATAGACGCTCCCGTTGTCCGATGCCTTTATTTCTCTGGAGGCTACACAGCGCTCCGGGATTTATAGACCTCCATTACGAGGTACCCGCGCTACGAGCACACGCCTGAAAGGTCGTGCAGCGCTTAACATGAGCAATTAGGCATGAAGACGAAGAATTACATAGTTCCAATTTTCCCTTAGGTCATGACGGGCACTGCAATTAACTCTTCCAATTGTTATCCCGTACAAAGGTTGGATGCTATCAGCAAAAGACAGTAACACCTTCTGTGGCCTCTGTACAGTCGTAAGCGGTGTACGACTGTGCACAACAGTGTAACATCTAATTAATGCTCACGCACAAATTATGGTCCGAAGGGTCATCGATATCCATATCGATATGTACAGACACGTGTACCATTTCCTTGAGTTGAATCTTCCAGGCGAATGATTACAGAACGTGGGGAACGTGTTAACGTGGGGACGTGGGGACGTGGGGACGTCATCGCTAACGCCTCGGGCTGCTGTGCGGGCCGGGAAGCCGAGATGGCAGGCAGTAGGGAGCGTAGCGAGTGAGGGAGGTCTCGTGAGCAAGAGGCAGTGTGCGGGATGATGGATTTGGGGAGGGGGGGACGGCAGCGGGAAGAGACGTCGGAAGGGCAAAAGGCTTAGTTGTAGAGTATTTGGATTGCGTAATGTGTAAAAGGAATATGTTTAGCGAGAGGAGAGAGAAAAGTGTTTGTCGCTAAGACCCGTGCGCGTTTGAACTCAATCGAAACGGAGGCGAACAAGTAGATGAACATAGACAAGACGAGGTTGGTGAGGAGAGGAGGAACAATACAAATACAATAAAAATACAATAAAAAGGCAATAGAAAGAAAGCAGAAAGAGAACAGAAAGAGAACAGAAAGAGAACAGAAAGAGAACAGAAAGAGAACAGAAAGAAGTAGGAAGAAAATAGGAAGAAAGTAGGAAGAAAGTAGGAAGAAAGTAGGAAGAAGGTAGGAAGAAGGTAGGAAGAAAGTAAAAAAAGTAAAAAAAGAAAGTAACTAAGTAACTAGGTATGGTACGAATTTTGCCCGGGCCAACTTGGTTGGGTGCCCAAGTGGCTCAACCAAGTTGGGCACGCAACCAAGTTGGGCACCGGGCGGGAATCGAACCCAGGGCCTCGCAGGCGCAGAGTGTCAACTGCACCACCAGCAACCGGTTGTCCACTCTGCCACGAACTCCCCTCTCCCAAACAGCGGACTCTGCGGCGACACAGTGTGGATACCAACGGTATTTAAAGGTATGCATTTGTCCTCGCAATCAACATTGCTTCTATAATTTGAAGATTGTCCGTAATGGCAATTGGACGAAGTCTGAAGATAAGGCTGATGAAGCTTGGGTCGTGATATTTACTTTGAGAGACTATTCTAGGCCTTAAGTAGTCCTGATAACCGCAGCTCGTCGCTTTGATTACCAAAGGGATGCTCAGACAGTAATAGAGTCATCCGTGTAGGATGAAGCACATTACTGTGTTAGTCAATTACACTACCAATAGGTTACCTTATATCCTGGCGTTTCATGACACTTAACGTAACATCCCTCCGGTTATGTAATGGCTAGTCCATTGGGAACCATGCAGATCGTAAAAGATGGTGAAATATTTCCACAGGCTTACAAATTTCGGCATATGCGCTGCTGCACGTCATCATACTCCTCCTTGCCGTATTTGTCCTCTGATTCTTCCTTGAAAATCCTCAATAGGCCTCTCATCTGTTGAAATTTCCCCTGGGACATCGGCTTTGTCATGATATTGCTTGACATGTACTCTGAGGGACAATACCTGATGGAAACAACACTGTCTCGGACTAGATCGCGAACAAAATGGTACCGGATAGCCATGTGCTTGGCCCTTTTCTCTGTCTCACTCCAGGCAATGGCCCCAGATATCTTCCGCGATACGTGTGGGAAGACTGAGATTCGCACCTAGCTCTTTGATCAGCTCTCTCATCCACCTGACCTCCTTGGCACACTCACTCAGGGCAATGTATTCGGCCTCACTGGTGGACATTGCAACAGATTTCTGCTTCTGCGTTCGCCAAGAGACCAACGCATTTCCAAAGAATATAGCCATTCCACTCATCGACTTCCTGTCAGCGCAGCTCGAGGCCCAATCTGCGTCGCTACTTGCATTTAGCATATCGGTTAGGTCTGTGTTAGCGCTCTTATTTTTCGGGTAGAGCAGTCCAAAAGCTTTTGTCCCTTTGAGATACCGCATGATGCGTTTCACTGCAGTCCAATGCTTATTTCGTGGCGCAGCAGCAAATCTGCAAAGCATACTGACAGCGAAGGAAATGTCGGGACGAGTCCTTGTTGATAGAAACAGAAGGGCACCGATTGCCTCTTTGTATGGCACTACAGCTACTGGTTCGTCCTCGAAGACTGACCAATCTTGCCCTGGCAACACTGGTGTGTGAACGATACTGCAAGTGGACATGTTGAAGCGATCCAAGACCTTTTCGATGTATGCCTCCTGAGTCAAAAGCATACTGGATCCCATATCCTTGAACTGCACACCAAGAAAGTATTCTGCACGGCCCAAATCCGCCATACTGAGAAGGCTGGACAATTCCTTCTTCACTCGATGAATGTTCCTTGTATCTGACCACATTACCAAGATATCGTCCACGTACATGAGTACCCACACCTGCTATTTTCTTTTTCCCTTAGTATACACACATTCATCCGCTTTGATTTGTTTGAATCCGAGGGACGTTATCAGCTCATTCCATTTGCGGTTCCAAACTCTAGGTGCATTCTTGAGACCATACAAGGCCTTTCTCAATCGGAGTACAGTACCTTTCTCCACATTTGGTTGCACGTGCGAGAGAAGTTCGATGAGCACCGGCTTGTCTTCATCTAACTTACCGTTCAGGAAGGCATAGGATACGTCCATCTGATGTACCTCTCCTCCTTTCATCCATGTCATAGCACACGTCAGCCGAATGCTAGAAAAGTCAACAACAGGAGCATATACCCCTTCGTCCAAAATCTGCTGATATCCCTTCACGACCAATAGAGCTTTGTACTTGTTGACACTCCCGTCAGCATTTCGCTTGATCTTCAGTACAAAATTAGTACCCAGAGGCTTTGAAGTACATTCTGTACGATTGATACTTGTCCACGTTGCGTTGTTGATTAGAGACTGTACCTCAGAATCGATGGCTTCCTTCCATTCATTAGCGTCTTCACGAGAAAGTGCTTCCTGCAGTGTGGGTGAGTCGAGTGTCTCATACTGAAAACCTATTCCCGTATGAGCTGACTTAGCTGAAAATGTCAGTCTGTTGGGACTCCTCCTATCCCTGATAGGATACCTACCGCTTACCTGATAACGAGTTCCAGGTGTATAAGTAGGAACATCAGTACAGTATCGGTCTCAGCAGATCCCTGTGCAACGTCCTCCGCTTCACCGGATTCCTGCTCTTCTGTTTCATTCTCATCATCATCATCCCCGAACTCATGAATTAGTTCAGGCATTTCAACATCTGTGTTGTAAGCGTCGTCCTCCATCTGCATATTTTGTACATCATTTTAACATTCAGTATCCCAAGACCTCGCTGGGAAAACATTCTCATTGACAATTACAGGTCGCACATGTTGTACTGTCTGCATATCCGTGTACTAGACGCTGAAAATAGAATGGGGCAGACAACGTAGCAAAACTGCCTCCCTGCTCCTCTTACCCAATTTATTCCTCAACTGTTTGGGAATATGGACCATCACCTGACATCCAAATGTTCTAAAGTGTCCCACATAGGGTTTCTTTCCAGTCAGAAGTTCCAGAGGTGTCTTCATTCCACACTTGCGTGTTCCAACGTGATTACAGATGTCGGCTGCCGTTGTGACAGCCTCACCCCAAAACTGAGCTGAAAGTCCTGAATGGCTCAGCATAGACCGAGCCATATCCATGACTGTGCGGTTAGTTCTCTCCGCTACTCCCTTCTGCTCGGGCGTGTATGGCGCAGCTCTTCGAACACCAATTCCCTTCATTGAAAAGTAGTGCAGCATGCCCTCGTATTCTCCTCCGTTGTCAGAGTAGACGTTCTTAATGCTAACGTCAAATCTTCTCTCAAACATGGCTTCGAACTCCTTAAACTTTTGTAGGACTTCAGACTTACGGACCATGAGAGATACCATCTTGAAACCTGACCATGCGTCAATAAAAGTCACGAAATACCGCTTGTTCCTGATGCTGGCCACCGGCATAGGTCCGCATACATCTGAGTGTATGATTTCTCCAGCTTCAGTCGCTTTCTGAGTTCGTTCCTTTAGCGATGAGCGCGTTTGCTTTCCATCAAGACACCACCGCGCAATTTTTCGATTACTATCGACTCTTGTTCTCCAGCGGGTTTGAGGTGGCACTTTCCAGCTCTGAATGTCACTTCATGTCCCTTCTTGTCCATTTCTGCGCAAGAAAGCAGATTTGTCTCAAGGGTGGGCACAAGAATTACATCTTTCAGCACAAGGATCGCGGACGATCCCTGACATCGCTACACGAGATTACTGCACCACCCGATGTCTCCGAAAACACGGACCGACCGTCACCCAGAACGACCTTCCGCTTCACGCTTGTGAAAGGAGCCGTTAGAGGTGATTTACTTCCCACCATATGTGAACTAGCGCCTGAATCGATGATCGTCTTCATATCGCCACCGTCAATGCCGGCCATGGCAAATTGCACCTTCGGCTTGGTACAGACTTTTGCGTACTTGAAAGGCTTTTTGCATTCTCGGTCCTTCTTAGCATAGCAGTCCCTCGCAAAGTGTCCTTTCTTACCACAACTGTAGCATAAAACATTTGCTTTAGCTTTCAGAGCACTGGCAAATCTCATCGAAACCCCAGAGCGAGTTAGATCCACGCTGGGACTTTGTTTCGAATCATACTCCTGGAGCATGCGACTTGCTGCTGAATCCCATGTCAGCTTATCGTTGGAGAGCGTCTCGAGCGCCGAGATGACGGGACCATACGACGAGGTCGCCTTATCGCCGAAGCTTGCCAGAAGAATTGCCACTTTCATTGATTCCTGTACAGGACATTCCATAGATTCTAAGCGATTAAAGATGCCTTCCATCTCATCAATGTACTCCGACATTGACTTTGCCGAACTGTAGTTCATCTGATGTAACCTGGTCTGGAGCTGAACACGCGTGGTCGCCGTAGCGGTGGCGTACCTCTCACACAGCTTCCTCCACATGACAAAAGGGTTCGTCTTCTCAGCCATTACAGTGCGAAGCGGCTTGTCGCCAAGTGCCTGGATAATGATACTTCTTGCCATCTGATGCACCGCGACCGATGGCTCCGTACACAGGACTCCTCAACCGCCGCAAGCCTCACGGTGCACCAATATATTGCGTGGCATTCAATATATTGCGTGGCGTTTGTATCGCTGCCGCAAGCCTCACGGCGCACCAATATATTGCGTGGCATTCAATATATTACGTGGCGTTTGTATCGCTTTATCTCTTCTAGCATTTAGGTTGCCCTACTTAAAGATAGTGCCCGACTCAATAAACTGGACGGGCAAGGAACTTTCACCTTCACAATCATTACCCGCGGACTGTGCAACAGTGATCACTGAGCTCTTTTTGCTTAATTTGACAACCTCGAACGCCGCTATCATGGGCTCCACTGGGGGTCCATCAGCAGGCCAGAATCTCTTTGTACCCATCTGGCATCCAATACTGCTAGAAATTGGAAGTAAAGACATCCATTTCTTCTCGCGACAACGAGAAAGCTACATTCTCAAGGTCAAGGAGGCCCAACAATCTGGTAGCACTATCCAACCCGTCTCTCTAGCCGCTTCGCTCAATCGCGACCTTCTGACTTCTCTCATCGAACAAGGGGAATTTGGAGATTCGGTCAACAAGGAGGAAGAAGCAACTGATGGTGTCATACAAAAGTGGTTAGACAGCAACGGAACCGTCAGTCTCGAATCCATCACCCTAGAGGAACTCGAGACTGCCATCAAGACATCAATACGCATCAATGTGAATGAGACAGACCCTAAGCTTCGCATAAAATCCTTGTTCATGGATTACCGTACTTTTCTCAGGACAAAGAAGTGGGACATCCTCATTGAGAAGAATCCCAAGCTGGCCATCAACCAGGTCTGTTCTTTATTGAAGCCCCAAGCTCTAAGAGAAAAATTTGAATCGGACTTGGCGCTCGATAAGCACGAATTACGAGAACTTTGGAAGCCATTTTACAGACATGTGATTGCAGAGGCTGTCTATTGCGACAAGTACGTGCCAGTGAAGACACCTCTGACCAAATTAAGGACTCCAGATCGCGAGAAAACCATGGACAAGAACAAACTAGACCCCAAACACAAACCGTCTGGAGGCTCGGGGCGAGCCACCCTGGGAATGCGTTGGGGTTAGG